TTATTTTACATAAAATGTAAAATTTTGAAATTTAAATAGACTGAAATAGTTGTTATTGTCTAATAATTTAAAAGCTGTTGTATTAGTATTATATTATTTTGTTTTACATTAAATGTAAAATTTTGAAATTCAAATAAACTGAAGTTTTTTTGTAATTTATATTTTCATAAAATATCCTATGTAACATTTTACAAGAATTTAAAATCTTAAAATCTCCAATATCACCTTTCCGATAAAAAAATATCCTATGTGACAATTTTTTTGTTTGAATCGTTAAATATCTTCATAAATAAAGTATGTATTATGAGGGCATTAAAAAAATTAAAGTAGTATTTATTTCTCGAACACTCTGAAAGTATTTTTAAATTAAATAGAATAATAGCTAATTTATAAATAACTCTTTTGTCTCTACTGAAAGTAACGTATTTTTCACATAGGAGATTTATTCCCGTGGACGACGCCATGATTTAATATTTTACTTTTTTTTTATACCTTCAACTAAAAACTTAAATTATTAAAAATTAATAGGATGAGTAAATTATAAATTCATTAAAATTTTAAAGACGTATAGTCAGTATAAATTTTAGGGAAGTATTAATATAATATAGGTAGTCAAAACAGTGGCGTAACAATAGAGTGGCATGACAGGCAATGGGCCACGGGCCCAAGACTCTAGAGGGCCCATCAAAAGAAAATATAGTACATTAAAAACAAAATCACCATTATAGCGAAATTTATAAATACGATTCTCTTGAAAAATATATGTATATTCTTGTAAAATAAAATAAATTTAATAACTGATCACGATTTTATTTATAGATTATTTTATTCACCAGTTTGTCAACATTGTCGATATTCATATTATTATACTAAACATGTTTATTATTTGTAACCTTAAAGGGTAGAATTTTGTAGGTGGTTATTTTTTGTAGGCTATTCCTCATATCTCCTTCTTCCAAATTTATAAAACTAAGGGCCCGATTGGACTATTTTGCCAAGGGCATTAAAAGTTCTGGTTACACCACTGAGTCAAAATATTCAAAATAAAACATTTTTTTTCTTTCAACGATTTTATGTTGGTATAGAACTATGGACTAAAGATTGGTTATAATAATATTAATAATATAATGTACAACACATCCCATATGTTATATGTTGTATAAGAAGCTAATCCATAGCTCAGAACTTCACACAATGCATATTTAAAAGAAATTAGCAGATTTAAAATCTAATACAATACAATTKTTTTATATAATATGTAAATTTTCAAAATTTACAACTAAAAATAATAGTACTTAGCACACTAACAATACAACAATATTAATAAATTTATATTTTTTTAAATCTAAAAAATTATTTTTCATTAGTGTTTATTTTTTATGCATATTTTGTTTATTAACACTTCTATAACTTTAAGACCTGAATTATCAGCTAACTATGAATAATGTACAAAATATATTATTATAATCATTAAATCATATAAAAAGTAAATTAATTCATTAAAACATTGTATACAAAAGTTCAATCAAAAGAAAAAGTCATACATTTTCAAGGATTTTTTTACAACTTACAACATAAAAATTATTGTGCAGACGGTGAGCAAGAAATAATAAGGGGGAAAGTTCAAATACCATACAATTTATAGTAAAACATATTTAAAATCAGTTGTCATTTACACAAAAGAAATGGTAAGATCATTTTTGTTCAATTAAACATAGSGATAATAAGAATAATATATGTATTTAATTTAAATAATCAGAAAAATATTTAATAAATTGTTCTATTCAAAAAGAGTAATACTTAGTATTTACCACAATATCTTTCATACCTTTAGAGGCTTCAACTTAATTTAAAAAAAAAAATTAAGTGAAGTTAAGATTATTCAAAATTGTACAAAATAAATTTCAAAATATTGTATGTCATCAATGTTATGTTTTAAACCACATAATTAGGAAAATAGTCCATTGCATCATTTATGTAAAATTCAAGTCACTGACACCATTTTGATCATCTATGAGCAATGTTTCTACCTCAAAGTTTACACTAATATTAATATTACATACTAAGAAGACAACTTATGCGTTGTCTCCGTCTTACAAGTGCTTAACAAAATAAACTTAAGGCTCAGCAGATCACATTTAGCTCTGGTAATTTAAAAAATAGATAGAACTTTTTATAGACGATTCACCTTATGTGCTAATGCCTAATAACTACGTTAATCCTTTAATTAAAGAACGGGGGTCAGCAAATATACCCAACAATCTTAGGAAAAGATTAAAAAGGTAGTGGTGTCAGGACCTATTAATTTAGTTGATGGCCCAATTGTATTTATAATTTTATTGTAAACTCATAAAAATATATACAAATGACTGGCAAAGTGTCTTCACTAGAAGGCTTCTTAAATCTATTCTTTCTTCAAACCATTTTTTTTATTCATTTATCTCTTTTACTTATTGTTCAATTTTATTACATTATACGAGTATGTATATAATTATAACAGATTGTAAATATAAAAATTAAAATTAAAAAAGTTTAAAAATTAGAGTAAATTAACCTTTTATAAAATTTAAAGGTAAGAATATTAATAATACAGACCGCATGGGTGTTTTGATATATTTTAATTTTGAAGCGAGTTATAAATATTTTAAGATATGCAAAAAATTTACAATTTTAAAATACTTATAATTTGCTTCAAAATTAAAATATAGTAAAAAGCCCATGAGGTCGTCTAAACTCTAAATAATATTCTTACTTTTTAAATTTTATAAGAGGTCAATTCACTCTTAATTTTTAAACTAACAGAGCTAAATGTGATCTCATGAGCGTAAAATTTACTATGTTACGCACTTGTAAGACAGAGACAATACATGCGTGTATCACGTCCTCTTAATTAAATTTTACATTGATATATCGATTTATACTCAAGAGTCACCAGATATGAAATCTGATAATTCAGAGGATATAGACTCAAAAATGTCAAAAACATTTAACTTTTTTAAGACATTTAGCACAGTATACAAACATAGACTTTTGTAGAACAGGAAATGCACTCTGGTATCAGTACAACAAAAGAAATAATTTCAATCAAGTCAGTAGATATATATGGATCCAGAAAATAAGCATAAACAGTTCATGAATAGCACCTACCACACCATCTTGCTTATAATTCATGGATACGAGATAATGAGTGACAAAACACTGTAACATAATTCTTTCTCTCAAGGGTATCTTGTTTCTCTCTCCAACAATGTTCATTAATTTATTGGTCAAAAGATCAGAGACTACCATAGATAATATTAAAAGAATCTATGGCAAATTGGCGACTACATATTACCAATAGATTGACAAGTATTTAAATGAAGTGCAATAACCTATATAATTAAGCTAGATTATTATTAAGTTGTTGTAAGTACACTGGTACATTGAGTAGGAGAAGCTTACAGGCAAACAGTATTTGTAAACGGCTGTTAGGCTAGCAGTTTGCAACTTAACCATTTACTTACCAATCATATAATTACCATTGCACACAAATCGGTCACCAAGATATGTTCTTTAAGTGAATAGAGTATAGTTGTTTATTAACTTGATAACTTGATCTAATGAATTCAGATCAAATCAGTGGCACCAAAATAAATATTTACCTATGCCAATTGTCATAGGTAATATTAGTAGGTAGGAGAGTTACCTTAGTCATTCTAAATATATTATGATAATTGTATTAGATAGATATTACAGTTARTTGTGAACTAAAAGTCAAAAATATTACATAAGAACTATACTTGGTGTATAGGTAATTATAAGAAATAGATGGATATTAAAATTGTATGTGGAGGTCTAATGTCATGGGTAAAATTTTAARCTTTGGTGCCACTGGATCAAACATAATCATTGTTCTACATTAGTTAATATTTATGGCGATTTTTTATAAGACATACTAAACTATCAGCTAAAATACGTAAAAATCACGAAAATTCACAAATTATTTTAAGCTAGAAATTCATAAAAAAATTTCTTTTTAAATCTAAGATTTAAAAATTTAACACAAGATTCCTTACAAGTTTTTCAATCTTTATCACAAATAAAAATTCCACCGGAAATTCAAATTAAATTTTTATGAGCATTTGAAATTTAAATTTTTACAACATTGGATTTTCACTTTTAGCGATTTCCTTATTTTGGTGTAACTCTAAAACAAATTACCACAGATACTTGAAATTTTGACTGAATGTTTATATAGGCGTTTTATATATTTGATAAAATTTTCAAAATATTTAGATTTGTTTTGAGCTGTTTACTGACATTTTAATTTTTCAACTTTTTTAGTTTTTTTTTTCTATAAATATCGATAAAAATTTATTTGTTCGGTAGAAAAGCTTGAAAATTTAATACAAGGCTTCTAACACATTGTAACAATAGAAGTTAAAAAATATTAAAAATACATTGGCACGATTTTTTTTTATAAGCATTTTAAAGTTCAAATTTTGACATCAGCTTGACATGTTCGATAACAAATAACGTTATCAAATATAACAATGGTTAATGGACAAAACTATACTAACCAAAACGATGAAATGCTGTTTACCTTATAATTAAACCTGAATTTGATTCAATAAAAATAATAATAATAATGACAAAACCAGTATAGTACATATGTGTTTCTTGTCAAACTTTTTCAGACTAAAATATCACACATTCAATGATTAACAAATATTAGTAATAATAAAACAACTAATAGTATGCATCAGTAAAGATTACTGAATTTATTAGGCACTAATTATGCAATAAATTAATCTTGCATGTTTTGGAGATATCACAATACACGCTCCGCGTCAGTATAATAAATTATTCTACAAATAACGGGAGTCATCATCACACGTGCTGAATCTGGTCTGTTAGAGGAGCAAATGACCGTAAAGACAACAGACCGGAATTTCGAGATATACTCCACATCCGGTAGGTCACCTGGATAAATTCTAATGATTTAAAAAGTTTCAACTTACTGCGTATTCACTAGGATTGACGGACGAATGAATTCGGAAAAGCGTGCACTTGTCAGCTAGTGTATGTAACGGACACGAAGACGACGATAACAAATACTATGCACACGATTTGAACTACAGAAACAACATGGACGTACCTTATAAAGGAAAATCATATATTGCAACAGACAGCAAACAAAATACACATAKGACCGATCGCCAGGGCGACCACGGTGGAAAAGGAGAAAGTAAGCCGAAAACGAAGTGAAAGAACCGCGTTTATGGAATCGATAACGATTGTAGTGGACGGAGTGGAGAGGTGACCATCTACTAGATAATGGCGTCCTACCGGCTACCATACCTGACAAAAGAAAACTGACCCCGCCCGCCACCTCATTATCCAAAAACTACGGTTTACTGATTATTACCGTGGTCCGTGCGGATACCGTTTCCGGAGACAAAGGTTGGCAACTCTTCGATTTTACCATCGAAGCCCAGCCGACTTCCCGAATCTCGAAACTCATCGTTTTTGAACTTTRAACGGACAGTGACGATTTAGCGGGCATTGAACGTAAACGCCGTGTATATTATCATTGATTATATAAACTAGTTTATATAATCAATGATATTATCTATACATGTATATGTGTATTAGTAAATATAACATATTTATATAATATATACTCAATGGTATAATACGTTATCTTGACATTAAAAATAAAATAATAATGACAATTTAACCATTATCGGCTTATCGCAATAATCCGATAAAATATGTTCAATTATTTTAATTGATATTTAATAATTATTAATTATGATAGTAATTTTAAATAATATTATTTACTCATTATTATTTGACAATTGCTCATAAGTCAACAGCATAAATTAGGATAAATATATGTGACTACAATCGTTTAAAGCGTTTTCCACTACTCTATTACTCGATCAATCTTTCGACAATCGACAATCGGCATTTAAGGTTTCCTACTGTTCACATTCCATTATTCCAATGTCGTCGAAAATCAAGAATTACTGCTACGACAGAAATATTTTCCATAACAGAATTTTAARTAATTTATAAATTATAAATACCCGGTAATTAGATAGAATAAACTAATATAGATGGAAATACTAGTATCAAGATATAAAAATAAACAATGTATAATATGTGAACATAATTTTACCAGTCCTAAAAGGGACACGTTTTGAAAATAACTAAATATAATTATCGATAGTCTAATAATAAAATATATGTATGTATATAATATATATATTTGGTGGCCCGCTTTAAGATGATACCTTACCAAAATGGAACGTTGAACAAAAAAGGTTGGGCATTACTGGTCTTGAGTGATCTAGAGATAGAGCAATTACGTAAAAAAAATATGAAGTGGTAAAAAACGATTAAATACTGAAATAGAATTTAAAGTTAGATTTAAGAAAATATCTTAGACTTCTAGGAGCCATCTAAAGTAAAGTAAAGTTATATTAGTAAAAAATATTGTTATTTCTAATGTTGTAAACTTGACAAATTTAGTTTTTTCCAATGATAACAAAAAAAAACTAAAAGTGGAACTATTATTCTGTACCACTACCAATACATATGTATAATTTTATATCCATAATCATAATAGAATTAATAAATAGATAAATAATAATTATCAAAATTAATACAGCGTTTCCTTTATTTTTGATGTTTGAACATCAAAATATTTATATATATTTACTTTTAACTGTTATTTATAAACAGTGATGAGAAAATGAAAAATATGATTAGAATAATAATTATTGTATTGGTGTTAATTATCAGTTTTAGGATAGGATATTAAATTTGATTAGATGGATCACACAACATATTTATGAGTTATAAAAATTGGTGCAATTTACAATTAACAATAAAAATTTTTTTTTTCTTATTTGCTTTTTAACACTAAAGTTCCACTTGATTGTTATTTACGCTAAACGATTGACCATTATTTATTATTAAAATTAGTAAAATGATAAGAACACATTTTATAAGACATATACACATTATAATTATTATACCTAAAATAATGGTAATTTATGATTGAATGATGATAAACAATAGTGGTCAATTTCATAACAAAAAACTGATATTTTGAATTTTCATAAATTGAGGAAAAGTATGAGGCTATTTAATAAGAGGTGATACATAGTTATTAATTAAAAATAAAAGTATGTAAATAAATAAAATGTAGGTAGGTATAATCATGCATTAAGTGCACTTCCTACTTTCCTAGCTTAGTATACCTAGCTTTGATTAAATTAAACATTCAAAAATATTTTAATGGTTAAAAATCTCTCATAATGTTTATATTTGGWCAATGAAGAATAAAGTGTTAAATACCTATGATATAAATATTGTTACTCAATAAAAATTAAAAACAATTATATTTTCTGGTCTGTAATAGCAACTACTAGAGTTGATCTGAGTTTTCCAAGTTCTTATACCTTTTAGGGCCATATTTTAGATTTTGGCACCCCCGACTTTGGTTATTATTAATTGTATATTTGTATAATTTCTTAGTAATTAATACTAATCATAGGGATTTGTGATATTCAATTTAGTATTTAGATAAATACAATTAAAATATATATAAATTATAATATATAATATTAATATATTATAATAGGTAATAAATAACAGAATATAGCCAATATAGGTAATATACTAATATACTAAGTATAAATAGGTACATAAAATATTAAACATACTATTAAATACATTATATATATAACCTTATTATAATATAATGAAAATATCCCCATTTAACCATTTATAATTATTCTTGGAACTTTTAAAATGATTGTATCAAATATAAATTGTATTTAATTATTTTTTTAATAGATATATGTTTTATTATATTTCATATTTTTAACTTGGAATATCCTATTGAGTGGTTGTTTAAACAAAAATATTTTTAAGAAATTCTTACTAAATAATATCATGATAAAGCTTGTCACAATTTCTCTAAGATTTAAAAAATGAGTAGGTAATTATATTTCTTTTTTTTTMAAATTTTAATTCTGAAAAAATTTGTATGTCTTATGCAAAATTATATGGAGTAATTATACATCAATTTTTGTTTCTATTATTTTGTATTTATATTTTTCTGAGTATTTTTATTATTTATTTTATCAGCATTATTATAATTCTGCTACAACAATATATTTATATGTGACATAATATTATGCTATACTATAAGATATGTATAACCAATGTCAATTTTTATAAAGTAATTTTTGTATATTAGGTACTTAATTATTTTTAACTGGGTACTAACTTAAATCCTAATCTAATAATGAAAGCTAGATATAACACATGAAAACCCCTTGGCATGTATTAAATATATTAATAATTTATATATACTATTAGGTAGGTACAAATAAATTAATAAAATACTAATCATTATAGATGAGATTCCTAAGGTATTTGGAACCAAAAAGATTCACATCGCCTAGAATAAYTATTAATGTAATTATCAGCACATTAAACACAACAACCAAGCTTATAAAATAATTAAAAAATTTTAGATTGATAATTGATCTGAATAGGTCATGTATATTATAGCAAAAAAAAAAACTACCAAACATTATTATTTCATCAAATGGCTAATAATTGATTGATATCCAGTAGGTACCATAGCTGGTATTTCATTAACATTGAATTACATTGAAAACAAGTTAGGACATCTCATCCTGCAGTGAACGTGCTAAATCCCTGGTTTTTAAACATATTGTAATACCCAACATTATGAACAATAGGTTTAATTCCATATTATATACAATTTAAAAATAATTTGTTRCCTAGCATTTATATTTTGGTATCTATTGGCTATTAGATTTCTAAACATAAGTTTAGAACATATTAAATCCCCGATGTGTCCACCGTTATAGTTACCAGTTAAAATAAATTGTTGGTGTTATTATGTATATCTATTTTTGAAGATTTTATAACGGTTCTATTTAAAGTAAATTTATACTATAGCCAATATTGAAAAAAA